AGTTGATGAAGTTTCTGATGGGCTTGCTTCACTTTGGTTTCTCTAGGATCTTTCCATGTTAGTTTTCTGTCTATATAGAGACTCAGCTATTTGACTGATGAATTGAATGGTAGAGCTGTTTAGGAGGGGTGGATGAGGAAGGTAAGGATGTCGGAGAGTGACAATTTTGGTGAGCGATTTCGAGGGATTGAGCATGGTTCTCCATTTGGTAGTCCCTTGTAAGATTTGGTGAAAGTGTCCTGATCTCGGTCAGTCAGTGTGTTTAATTCGGGACGTGAAAGAAATAGGGAAGCTTCGGCAGCAAATGCGGCTGTGTTAATCAACCGAGATGTGGGTATGTCGGCGGTGAAAATATTAAAGAGCTGCGGAAAGAGGGGAGCCTTGAGGAATGCCTGCTACAATAAGATGAGGGTTAGAAAGTTGTGACTGAATTTTTTAATGAGAATGATCGATCTTACCACAAACTTCGGATGGTTGAAAGGAGGTAGATTTGATACCGAACTTTCGTAACTTATAGATTATGCCAAATTCGATCGAATGCTTGGTTCACATAAAGAAAAGCTGCTAAGGTATGATGCCCTTTTGAAACCCGGAATCAATAAATTCTGTTAATCTGAGGAGTTGATGCCAAGAATGTTTAGGAACTAAACGAAATTGGTGAAGAGGTAAAATCTTGGACTGTCTTAGAAATGAATTGAGCTACTTTGGATGTTTTTTTCCGCTGTTTTGACAAGAATAAGAAGAAAACGTATATGGCGGATTATAATTTTTGAAAAAACAAAAAAATACACCAAAATAAACTTTACGTCATATTAAAAAGTGCACTGTTCGAAATGGTTGAAGAAAGAAATTGAAGTCGTTTTTGAGAAAATGCGGAATTTTGAACTAGTTTTCACAGAAAACTGTTCAGTTTTCGAGAAACTTAGATATTATTTAAAACACATGTACGCATAAATACAATAATGTGAACAAATTGCCGCTAGATTAAATATTAACATGAGAGACAAAAAAATTAAATTTTTTTAATTTGTGAAAAAACAAACAAACAAACACTCAAATAACATTTTCTCAAAAATGGGTCCAAATTGTTTCTTCTAACATTTCGAACGGTTAGTGGTAATTGCACTCTTTAATATGGCATAATATAATATAATATAATATAATATAATATAATATAATATAATATAATATAATATAATATAATACAGAGAGAGATTAATCTTATATTATACATTATTTTGTTAATAGTTTCGGATTGCAACATTAAATCCTCCACAATGTATTCTGTGCTCCAACGCACACACGCACACTGTTTTGATAGATATGATTGAATTTGAACTTTGTATAATGGTAATAAAGTGCAAATTGACTCTCTGAACGTTAGGAACATATCTACATTGTTTTAAACAACAATGTTGCTCTATACAATAGTATAAAGGCCAAATTGACTCTTACATTTTAGTTAAAAACGCTTTGTATGAGACAAAAATAAAGGCTATTATT